CACACACACACACACACACACACACACACACACACACACACACACACACACACACAAGTTCAGATCCACATCTTGGAGCAGCGCGTTTTCCAATGAGAAAAGTTGCAGCGTATTTTGAGAAACAAGCAGTGTGTTAATGTTGATCTGGTTACATGTGAAGGTTTAAAAATCTTTCATCAAAAAGTAGGTAAAAAAACGTGACAGTATTAAAATTCAAAATGTGATAGAAACTGTGTTTAATGGCTTTTAGTTTAGTTTACCTGTCACTGGGCACATTGTGGTTAAGGTCCTGGGAAGATTTATGTGTTAAAATGAAACCTGCTGAGACCCAAATATGTGATAATTAAATTGATTTTAGGAATATCTCTTTTGATTTCTGTCATTTCAAATGAAGATATCCAAATCACCACAAACCAAGTTGCACTAAAGAGGTGGCTTGTTCTTTTTTGACAAATCCACAATAAGAGCTTTACCAAACTCTAAATTTACATGAAATGCACAGAGAGACTTGAAGATAAGATGCAAACATTTGATTTTATGTTTAGGTCTTGTGAAACTTGCCCTAATGCAGGGCTATTCAACTAAATTGCTCTGGGGGCCACAGTAACTGCCGGTCAACAGCTGAGGGGCCGAACATCCAGCAATTAAAGTCATTATGTAAATAAACCCAAGTATTACAAAGATACGTTACTTTTGAAGTAGTTTATTTTGCTGCACTTAATCATGAATACAACATACAGAACCCTATAAAAGTAGTGATAATTACACATCAAAAACAAAAAGAACACATTCTGCCTCCTATTTGACACAATTAATATTTTGACATTTCTGATTTGCCAAATTTTTAAACCAATTTTATTTTCACTTTCATCATTTTATCTTCAACTGCTTGTAGTTTTAACTGTCTTGAGTGTTTATAGAAATGGTTTTCACCAGCTTCTAGCCAAGATTCTGACGTTTCTGTAGATACTAGGGGTGTCCCGATACCAGTTTTTTCAAGATCGAGTACAAGTACGAGTACTTCAGTTTAGGTACTCACCGATACCGACACCAAGTAGCGGGGTT